CCCCCTGGCTAGCAGCATTATTAACAAGTTCCTGCACTTCCTGCTGCTTATTCCCACCAGGCCTCTTTGCTGCAGCAGATACTGTTCATAGCACAGCGTGCTGCACGTTGGGAATTGCACTGGGAAAGAAGCATCTGGCTTATCTGATTTGGGTAATGGTCTGCACATACAGCTGCATCTTTACCATGGCTTCTTCTCTCTTTCTCACTTTTACCATATCACTGTAGAATCAGAAGCATCAAAGTCAGAGATGCCTCCACACAAACTCCTGCTTTGCTGTGCTGATTCTGACACCAGCTGTGTGTTCACGTTTGCCAGCAGCTGCTGAGTTGGTGCACATCTGGGAAAGGATCCGTGAGAGCTTCCTCCTCACCCACTCCATTTCCCCAATTTCCTGTGGGCGTCTCAAAATAGTGTTTAAAAAAAATCCCAAGTGGAAGCATCTTTCTCACAGCTCTGCTAAATGCTTCATGGTGAATGGCCATTAGGGCGTACATGCTGTCATGGTGTGATCTGCAGGCAGCCAGCCCAGCAAAGAGCTTGGGATGCACTTCAGTCTGATGGTTACACTGTGCACTGAGTTTGTTTGCTGTAGTACCTCTGTGCTTATCTATAGCTTAAGAGTGTCTCAGAGTTTGATGTTCAGCTGCTGTGAACTGTGAAAGAACTTTAAACTGGTTTATCTGAGCTTTCAGTTCATCTGGGTTTTGTAGCAGTGCTGACTTGGAGGCTTTTGTGTTCAGTGAGGTATAGATTGGCCTCAAACCACTGCAGCATCCCAGCTGAGCAATAACGCCAATGGCCTTGCACACTTCAGGATGTACTGACATTGCTAGGGCTTCTCAGCTAAAAGGAATGGGATTTTTTTTGTTTGTTTGTTAAAGGAAAGGTAGGAAAGGCATTGTCCTTTAAGTGGCTTAGGATTGATTCCAGAGATGGGTGGATGGAGGGCTAGCTGGGTTATGTCCATGCACTGCCATGTTCAGCTGTAACGCCGTTTAAGCCGTTCAGCTGCTGCAGCATCGTATGGAAGTGGCATTCACAATGGACAGTGCTGATAGTAGTGGCATTATAGAGTCATTAACACTGACTTCATGGCTGAAGTGCGGAATGATCATCAGTGGTCCGTGAGCACTGGTTTTCTCATACACTCACAGTGCTACCTGACGATAAAAGGTGCCTTGACTTTTCCTAATTGTGGCCGTTGTTCTGACTGTGGTGCTTTTTGTGGGTTCTAGAGCAAAAAAGGGAAAGCATTTTAAAAAGGAGAGTATGATGCTGTTGGAACTGATGATAGGACTACATTTCATAGTGGTGCAGTGTTCCTATCAACTGTATTGAAGTTATAAGTGAACTTCAGAAACAGTAGAAGCAGTTGATTAGTAAGCATGCTGAAGTGATTACAGGTTTTAAAAATTGAATTTTGGAATTGGACATGTGTATGGATTACATCTATGTTATACCTGTTGTGTACTAAGCAACGTTAACGTACTCTGGCTTCTGAAAGAGGACATTGATTGTGAATAAAGTAGTCTCCTAGAATGTTCACGTGTGGATTATAGTATTCTGTAGTTGAACAGAACACAGACTTAAGGAAAGGCTTTGTAGTTGCCTTAGGTATAGCTGAAAAAGTTGGTTAGACTGAAGTCCCCATGCTGTTGTTACCATAGGTTGGATTTGGAGGTGATCCAATTTGTGTATGGCTCTGGATTTATTCTGAAAAGGATTTCACAGTGGTTCTGTGGAAAGCAGGGGAGGTTCAGTTGAAAAACAAAAGTTTAAAAAAAAAAGGAGTAGATTAAAGAAATACTTCTGTTTCACTGTAGCAGGAAGTGTCAACCTCTCCAACACGTGAACTGTTAAGAAGTCCAGGGGTGGTTGTTGTATTGCTAAGCTACCTGGAGGGAAAACCTTTTGCTGAATGAGATGGTTGAAGTCTGTAGTGTGACTGGACTCCTGTGTCACTTGGTTTCATGGCTGTAGTGGGGATAAGGAGCAGAACTGATTTGAGGAAACTGTTACACAGGCTGAAAAATTTTACATGCAAGGTCTGTTCATTATTTTAAAAACTGTATCTAAAAACTACCCTGAAAGTGTGCTTGCATGTGGCCTCACTGCTTTTTTGAACAGTTGCTTTGTGTCCTTGTTCAGATGAGAACTGTTCTGGGTTGCTGTGGGCTTTGCCAGTGTGAGGGTGTTTTTATAGATGTCTGTTTGTGATCCCTTCTTACCAATTAGGTGCTTTTTAAATGAAAATGACATCATGACTTGGCCAAGAAAATATGGGGAAAGTTATAGAAAACTTCTTTGAGCCATAGTCTGTGATTTAAGGTTTTCATCTTTAATTAAAATGAAAACTGTTCTGTGTACTGTGTACAAAGATGCTCGATCACAGCACTGTTGAGCTTAAAGGTTTTTGAATGACCGCTTCAGTCTCTGCTCTCTGTTGCCATCTTGGGGTGAGGACTGACATTCTTGGAGGTTGCAGGATGGATGAGAAGAGCAACGCTTCAAATGCATTCAGTAACGTTTTTTAAAGTACTGTGGGGTTGTTTTTTTGTTTGTTTGCTTTTATATTCAAGATACACTTCACTTAACTATTTTTCATTATAACTGAGGAGTAGAAACAATTTTGGTTTTGTCAGGGTTGTTAGGCAGTGTACTAAAGGAGTACCTGTTTGGAGCTTCCTGAAGAGTAGAACAAATATAGATGCATAGTGATACTGAAACTTATTTCTCTCCTTCTTATTGGCAGGTTTTCTTCACCAGTGGAGTGTGAAATAGAAACTGAAGCAAGATGAGTGAGCTGGAACAGTTACGGCAGGAGGCAGAGCAGCTGCGAAATCAGATCAGAGTAAGAATTGCTAATTCCTTATTTTTCATGGTGAAGTTCCTCCTTTTAAAGGAGTAAAGTATCAAGATTGTATCTATTACTGAGCAAATCCTTGCCTGCAACTTGGCCAATCGTACAAATACTGGACAGATTGCTAATATCTCCCTTTAAGAAAAGTTGCTTCATCTAGTTAAGATCACATTCAGAAACCATTTTATGGTGTTGAACACCTTAAAGTGTTTCAGCTAATCTAAACAATTAAACTTGTGTAAAGTCCAGTGTATTTCTTCCTGTGGATGAAGTAAGCCCTGTGCTAGGGGATTTGCTGCTCTGGTATTTTAAACCCCTCCTGATTCCAGACATCAACATTTTATAAATATTTCTACAGTTCAGACACTTTAAAAATAAGTTGAGATGACTTAATCCACTCTGAAGCTTGCTTTCTGGGAGGAAGGCTATAAAGGGTGGTTATAGTAAACACTCTGAAAATCATTTAAGTTGTATATCAAACAACTCTTGAGCAAGATGTTAAAGAATGTTAAGATCCTGGTCTGAATGTATGAATTCAGTTCCAAAATGTGTAAGTAAATACTTCTGTTCCTTCTCTCAAAGATGACATTGTCATTAGCACATAGGTGGAACACTTCCTGGGGCAGGGGGGCACAAATTGATGGTAAAGGGGGGCCATCCACCTGTGTTAGATGCCTGCCCCAGTAGTTGCAGAACTTGAGCCTTATTTGTAGAAATTACAGGGAATTGGGAAGGGTCGTGTAGTGGAAATACTGAGTCACAGCCTGAAGCAGTGATTGAGCACCTGATGGAAAGGCAGGGCCAACCCAGGGGAGCTCGGGTGGATGCAGTGCAGCTGCATGACCAGAAGGGGTAGAGCCAGGATCCATCCCTTCCCAGACCTCATGTAAGGGTTGGCAGTGGAGGCAGAGGTATCTTAGTTGATGTCCCTGTCTATCTGAGGACTTCCAAAGGTAAGCAGCTTTTTTCCTTCATTTCTGTGTCCGTGGCTGCCACATTTGGGCCTGTTCTCATTTGCTGCAGCCGAAGACTTTGCCACTCTGCTATTACTGCTGTACTTTCAATCACAGTAGCATTCTTATGGCTGATCCTTCAGTGTTGCTGTTACTAGAAACCCTACAGCACAAATTGAAACAAATTGAAATAAAACTATTTAAATCTAAGACAATTATCTTAAGCTACTCAGAAGTGGTTGCTGATTGAATGCCTGTATTTGTTTTCCAGTGGCTGGAGACTGAGTCTGTTTGAGGTGTCTAATTTCTCTTACTGTGCAAACAGAAATAAAACCTGTTTTTTGAGTAGGGTTGAATAATGTGCAGAATGTAAGCATAATGTAAAGGGAGAAGCCAGAGAATCTGTATGAAGGCCTGAACGTCATGCATTCTATAAAATGAATGAGTGTTCATAGAGTATTTTTTTTCCTTTAGCATGAAGCGTATCAGCAGCTTAAGTTTCTGCAAGCCTGCTATCTGTCCTGCTCCCCATGTCCTGCTTCTTGTGCCTGTTGTTGTCACACCTGTGGCAAGAGAAGTGAATGCAAGACTTGCTATTTATGTGTAGCATGTGGTTGTTACTTCAGCTGGATAGTTCCTTTCCTGGGTGCTCAGTGCCTGCTGAGTGAGCACAGGGAAAGGGGCTGGCTTCAAATGCTTTTTAATCACCTAATTTGTAGAAAGAGAGACTTAAGGAGAGCTGTGCTCAAGCAACCTTTAAGTCCTACTTCTCCTGCTCCTCAGCTTGATGCTCAGTTTTGCATTTTGGATTCAATTGTTGTGTTCTCTTGTTTCAGGATGCAAGGAAAGCATGTAGCGACACAACTCTTGCTCAGGTATGTTCCTGATTCTCTTCCTTTGTATTTAAGCAAACCCTGCAGTTTATGACTAACATGTTTCTGTTTGGTAACTGGAGGAACAGCAAAACAAGCATGTGGGAATGTACCATGTGCTTATATAATTACTTTGGAATTGTAGGTGAATGAAGTTAAACAGTTAAAAAGACAATTGTTTATTTTTACCTTCATGCCTAACCTAACAAACAGCCACACCAAAAAATCCCAACCAACCAAAAAAATCCATCATCTCAGTATGGTCTGATTCCAACAATAGAGTGTGTCAACTGTACTTACTCTGTTTGGAAGGATTTGGATCAGTGTCTTTTAGATGTGCTTTGGGAACAAAAATACTTGGCGTTTAGATTTTGCCATGCCTGAAAAAGTAACAATGCAGTAAATGTTAAAGGATTTAATTCCCTTTGTTTTAATAGAGAACTTTCAGATTTGGTAACCTGAAGTAGTCTCAGTATGATGTAGTGATATCTTCAGAAGCTTTTTGAAGCTCTGCTTATAGTGGTTATGTTGTTATTCTCTTGTAAAACTTCTTTTCCCCAGCGTTGCATGGTTTTGACACTGATAATCCATTTTTTTCTTTTCTATTGCATGCCAAGATAGCTTTTATTAATCAGAATTCAAATGTGTTTAGTTATCATTATATTAAAAATAGTCCTCAGTATCTCAAGGGTTTTTATTTATTTTTAGATCACAACAAGTCTGGACTCAGTGGGTCGAATTCAAATGCGAACGAGGCGTACGCTTAGAGGTCACTTAGCCAAAATTTATGCTATGCACTGGGGATCTGACTCAAGGTTTGTATAATTGGTCTTTAAACCTGCAACTTGAAGGTTAGGAATGAGGTGGTCAGCAGCATCAAGCTTTGTGAGGCGTGTGGTACAGTCTTGGTGTCCTCAGAGGAGACCATGAACCATGACTAGGATTTTCATTTCTTCAGCCATAGTTTGTTCCTGTGAATTCAGGGAGGACTGTATAGTAATGAGAGAAGCACTGGGTGAAAGGAGAGGTGCTTTCTACTACCACAGGCATTTTGCTTTTTTCTTCTTTTAGTTTTAACAAAGCTCTTAGACTCTAAGGAGAAGGGTTTGTGGTGAGGTGTACTCCTAGGATGATGGAGGTTGTATTTTCCAAGATTTGGAGTAATTATGTAACTCCTATGATAACAGATTTTTGAGACTTTAAGAGCAAACTTCATTTCATTGAAAAAGGATCTTCATGTGTATAGCAAAGAAAAGTTACAGGGCTTCTAGGAGGGAGTTCTGTCACTCTGCCTTAGAGCAATTGATGGTCAAATGTTCATAGAGCTTTGTGTTCTGCTCTCCCTTGTATGCATTTCTTACACCCAGTTATTATATTTTTGTATAACTGTAGTGTTTTTTTTTAAGAAGCATGAAACATGTTTTCTCTTTTGTCCATTGTAATCATGAGCCCTTTTGGATGCAGAGATTTGTTCTGTGGTGTAACATACAGCTCTTTGCAGATTTTCCAACAAATGTTGCACTTAATTAAAAAACAATGGCAATAGTGAAAGTCTTTCTGATTCACTTGGAAACCATGCGTGGTGTGTGACTATTTTGAGAGGTTTTTAATACTAACTTGTTTCACTCTGTGTTTGTATTTAGGCTACTAGTCAGTGCTTCACAAGATGGAAAATTAATTATCTGGGATAGTTATACAACAAATAAGGTATTTATAATTTGTATCAATAACTCATGCATAATTTGTGTGTTTGCAAGTCAAAAATGAAATGAAGCAGTTAGAAGGATGTTTCTTTGTAACCTTCACACCTGGTTGTTTAGTGGAGATGTACTGTAGGCTGTGTTCAAAAGTAATAGGTGATACATAATGGCTTTCCTCCAGTTTGCTAGCGCTGTAGCTTTTGGCTGTTCTTACCTGCCTCTGTGATGAGGTTTATTTAACTGATCTGGCTTTAAATTATAGAAATGGGCAACCTCAGGATTTAATGCTTTGTCTGTGAGGTCAGATGGGGTGGGGGTGGAGAAGAAGGTGTTACAGGAGAGAAACTAAGGCAGGGTGTGGGGCAATGCTTTGTTGCTATAAACTGTCCAATTTCCATGGGTACAGCCGTTCTGTTCTGTAACCTGTCACTCAGAAACAGAAGAACTGTACGAAGAAGTCTCACCAGAACAAACAAATGTGTAGATGTTTAAGTTAAGAATACTTTACCATTAAGTAATGTTGTGCAGGAGTTCTGTATATACGCTCAGGAGACATAGTGGTATTTTTTTATCCTGATATGTACACGAACATAGATTGCAGTACATTCTAAAACAGAACAAAATTTATGATGTGCAGTCTGTTTGCCATGTTTAATCTGCTGTAATCCAAGAATTGTTATGAACGACTGCAGTAAAACATGAAAGCAAAGGTGTGATGCAGCACTGATGAGCTCTGTCTTCCTGAAGATGCATGCCATTCCTCTGAGATCCTCCTGGGTGATGACTTGTGCGTACGCACCGTCTGGCAACTACGTGGCCTGTGGTGGACTGGACAACATCTGTTCCATATACAACTTAAAAACCAGGGAGGGCAACGTCAGAGTGAGCCGAGAGCTGCCAGGGCACACAGGTCAGCCATACACTCGTGTCAGCTTCAGTTTTCTGTTTTTGTGTTTTACTGCATCAAATGGAACAGTCTCGCTTTGAGGTGTATTGTGAACTGTGAAATAGTTTTGCTGGCTTACAAAATAGCTGTGAGAGATTTAGTAACTGCTCTTGGATGGTAACCTTCAGTTTCAACTCTCACATCTGACGCTTTTGTAACTGTTTTGTTTTTAGGATACTTGTCCTGTTGTCGCTTTTTGGATGACAACCAAATTGTCACTAGCTCAGGAGACACCACTTGGTAAGTTTTTTTGTCTATATTAATGTTCTTTTTTTCCTGCCCAGTGCGTCAGTGTTAAATAAAACTGAAGCTCTCAGTAACCAACTACAGGGTGTTAACGCTGTCGCTTTCTCTGCAGCGCTCTGTGGGATATTGAAACTGGTCAGCAGACCACCACGTTCACTGGGCATACCGGCGATGTAATGAGTCTCTCTCTAAGTCCAGATATGAGGACTTTTGTTTCGGGTGCCTGCGATGCCTCCTCGAAGCTCTGGGATATTCGGGATGGGATGTGCAGGCAGTCGTTCACAGGGCACGTGTCAGATATTAACGCCGTTTGTGTAAGTGAACGTTTGTACTTCTGCATGGGAAGAAGGCAGGAGAATACAGCAGTAGGTGCATGGATTTAATCTGTAGTCTGTCGAGTTACCTTGATTTAAAGTCAGTGACTTCGGGTGGAGACTGAGTTATGTAGAATGAAGATTGCCAAATAACCTGTGATCCAGAGTGTAACTGAATTATTACCATTATGTGTGATGCATTGAAGTGGTTTTGGAATAGTTTAAGCAACGTTCTTGTTCAGCCACTGAGACTGTGCTTTTTTAAGAAGCAAAGAAAAGAGCATGGGAACTTTTTGCAGTATGACAGTGTTAAAACTGAAATTGTAGATAAATACAATATGCTGAGAGGGAGCAGAATAGCCAAGCATCCTCAACTTAAGCCTTTTTGTTAAATAAAAGCGTATGCGGTACTTTCTGTTGGGGAAAAAGAAGCTGGAAATGTGCTGGAAGGCAAAGTTAAGAACCAGTGCTTACGTTGAACGTTGATCCTCAGAATAATTTTGTAATATTTATAAACTGGATTATATTTCCTCTCTGTCATAATAACACTATGTTCAGATCTGCAAGATACAAGCTCTGATAAATAGGGAATGAAATCTAAGCTGCATCTGTTCTTGATAAACATGAAAAATTATTAAGGCTGAGAAAATACCAGAGGCATGACCTGTACAAAAATGCAGTTCCTATACTTAGACCTGAATCCTGAGATGTGCTGAGCTCTTTTCATTCCAATTTCAATCAGTATGGCTGTTGTAAGACAGGCTTTGATTTGGAGTAGATTTTGGCAATTGAAATTGCTTGTTTGCAATCTTCTGTCTTGGCTGAGCTAACCTGGCTGACCATCTTAAGAGGGAACATAGTGTGCACTTCACATAGGTCTTCTTGGCCCTCAGAGAGGGCAGAAATACATTTTGCTTCATTTCACAGGAGTTAGTTATATCCCTTTTGATGCCTGCTGAACTGCATGCAGGAACTTGTCTGAGTAAAAGTGCAGTAATTCAAGTGTTACCAGTACTGTTCCAGAAGTGTTTAATCGCAAAGCTGTGCGGGTAGCAGAGTTTGCTGACAAACTATTTTTGTTCAGGACATCATTCTGTCTTTGCCTGGTCACCCTGAGCATATCACATGGTGATGTTTTGGAAATAACGCATGAGAAATGTGTTTTTCTGATGTCAAACTTCTGTCTCTTAATTAAAACTTCCAGTTTTTCCCCAATGGACACGCATTTGCCACTGGATCTGATGATGCCACTTGCCGACTCTTTGACCTGCGTGCAGATCAGGAATTAATGATGTATTCACATGACAATATCATCTGTGGAATCACTTCTGTAGCCTTCTCAAAAAGTGGTCGCCTTTTGCTAGCAGGTTATGATGATTTCAACTGCAATGTGTGGGATACTCTGAAAGGAGAGAGGGCAGGTAAGTGCGTGTAACTGCAGCGAGCGGTGGTGGATATTGCAAATCTGTGCAGGGCTGGTTCATTGTCAGTGCTGATGTGATGAACTCTGCTTGCTTCCTGTTGGCACTGCTCTCTTGGAATGATACCATTTCATTTGGTTGTATCTTCCAGTTGTTACAGTGCGTTGGCCATCTTCTATCTCTGCTGAAAGATAGCTCTAAAGGTTAAGGAACAGCCACCAAAGTTGCATTATATGGATGGAAAGTTTATCTTGCTGAAACGTACAGAACTAGGCAATACAAAATGTTGCATTTGCATTGGTTCTGGCACCTATCACAAGTAGTAATGCTTCTGACAAGTAGCTCTCTCTGGTATTATCAAAGATATCACATTTGATTTTGAAACTGACTTGATGGCCAACGTTGTGGATGGCATTGCTGAAAACATGGGACAAAACAGTGCAGAGCGTGGCAAGGGATGAGGAGGCCTGTGGGGCAAGAAGATGGAAAAGTTTTAGAGTAGAGGAAATAAATGGAGGCAGAAACGTGTTTGTTTGTGTGCACGTATTGTTAGTAGCTTCACTGTTCTTTTTCCTGATATGGCTGTTGTGATGTGCAGTTCCTGAAGCTAAAGAAAACGGAGGGTGCTTAGACCTCTTGTTATGCATTTATCAGCCTGTTTGAAGACTTAATCTGGGAGGGCAGAGTAGCAGCTGAAGTCCTTGCTCCATCCTGTAAACATTAACATTCAGTTGTTCTTTTCCAGGTGTCCTTGCTGGCCATGACAACCGTGTCAGCTGTTTAGGTGTTACTGATGATGGCATGGCTGTAGCTACAGGGTCTTGGGACAGTTTTCTCAGAATCTGGAATTAACTGGGAGCCAAACATGTACATTCTCCACTTGAGACCTGGAGAGATCAATGCTGCAGCCTATAGCTGTGAAATAACATTTCTACCTTGTATTTGCAGGTGAAGTTTTTCTATTCACTGATTATTACACAAAAAGGCTTTCTGTAAACTAGAAAAAAAATCAAGTGAAGAAACAGGGGAGGGGGGAAGAAATCACTGACTTTTTAAAAGGGGCCAGCACACATAATCATGGTGACCGACAAACTAAGAGCCAGTCTTTTTGTTTTTGATGGTTTGGTTAGATTGTCTTTGAAGGGTTTTTGCTTGTGCTCAGTCTGCTAATCCTGTACTTTTATTTGTACATAACAGAATATACACGTTATAGCAGCCAATCATGTAACATTTGTCTGTATGTAAAGAAATATGTTTGCATTTTTTTAAGGAACTACATTTATAGCTTTGCTTTAACCTGAGGTGTCACTTCTGAGTTTTGTAGTGGATGAACTATAATTGCTGTTTTAAATGTTTTTGTGAATTTACTGTAGATAAAGTGAAGCCAATGGTATGTATGTTTTTATAATGGAAGGCATTTGAATTTATTATTTTTTTTTTTTAGAGGCCCTGGAGACTCCCAGTTAATACCTACTGCCTTACTCACTCACTTCTTGACCTGCTTGCCTATTTTTAATCGTGGGGGTTCTTCCTTAAGCCAGTGGTTCCTGGTTCATCCATTGGCAGTGGCAGCCTCCAGACACCAAGGAGTTAATGCCAGGCAGAGTTGCAACAACAGAGGGAAAAAAAAGTCCAGTTCAGAAGTATTAGCCTCCTTACTGCGGCTTTCCGCATCTGCTATTCCACCCAGCCTTGGGTATGGAAACCAGGTGACCTGCACTGCTGTTGTTAAGTGGCTGAGTGCTTTTCTTTTTGACAGTTCAGCTCTAAATGAGACAGTTTGGCCTGTCACAAACTCTAACAGCGATTTGGCGTGATACTCTGTGCAGAAAGCAGTGTGCTTGCAGAGCTTGCTCAGTCACCCCAACAAACGGGAATTCAAGAGAACTTTGCTTAGAATCTTAAAGATTTAAATGTGCAGTTAATCACCTGTAATTCCCCTCCAAACTGGGGGTTTGCCAAAGCATACCACAACCAAAAGTGCTTGTTGTCAGTTACGTGCAGTGTGAGTTATGAAAGGAATTGTGTAACTTACAGTGAACCAAATAACCTTACTTACTTGTGTGGCCCTTTAAAACTTTGTGCTATGAAGTTAGCGACTTGCTTGTTCTCCTGTGGTCACAGGTCTGTGCCATAGTGGCTCATTAGATGCTAATTGTTCTGCAGTTCTCACACTGTAAATAGCCATCTCCTCTTCCTGATTTATTCAGATGTTGGTGGCAGCTGCTTATAAGTGACAGGTTCTGATCAACTATGGTTGAGTGTAGGTAGAAGAAAATCAAGTGAGTGATGCCCATCTGAAACTACCCAGGAGGACTGCTTAACTTCTTGGTGCCTGGCAGCATGCTTGTGCCTGCAGTGGATGTTCCCTTGGCAATCTCAAAGCCTGTGGCATTTGTAGAAAGGGGAAATCAAGTCTATTGGCTTTTCTGAAGTGACTTGTCTTAAATAGATGTGAATTTTAAATTACCAGGTTGGAAGATAACGTTCATCCGCCCTCAGCTGAAGTTATGGGGAGTCTGGGTATCGGTGGGTCAGGTACCAAATCTAAGTGCCCAATATTTTGTAGTACGCCAAAACAGAGATGGCTCTTTGTCAAGTTTATGATATTTGTAATCCTAAATTTCCGCACTTCCAAACTGTGCCTGTAAACTTGCCATGTCTGAGTGGCAAAGGTGCCAATAAATGTACCAGTCACAGCAAATTCACTTCAAGAAAACAAAGCAGCACATCTCGTGCTGCAGGAGCGTACATTTGCCAACAGCAGATTGTGGTGTAGGACCAAAATCACACAATGTCACAGGAACTCCTCAGCATTTTGCTTTTCGATCTGCATTTACAGAACTATTAAGGAATACTTGTTACTCTTTAAGTGAGCGTGTTGAGAGCTCTCAGATTTGGTTCAATTTTTAGTGGTGCACTTAACTTTTTTTTTTTTTAACTCACAGCTGCCTTGAGTGAATTTGTTACTATAGAATTTTAAGAAAATATTCTTTTTCTAAAAAGTTTTTTTCCATAGAGATGTGTTTTGAACCAATTTCTTAGCCAACGCTGTTGCGAAGACAGATGCCATTTTTACATTCTGGTGTTCAAGCTGGTTTCTACTTGTGAAGCTCCAAAAACAACTTTACAAATGTATATAACTTTTCTTAAAAGTTTGGGTAGACTGTAAGCATGGTAATGGCTCTGGTACAGGTATTACTGCAAATAACTTCACTATCATTGGTTGATGAGCAGTTGTTGGATTCAGCTGCTAGTAAGGAATGCCAACTACTTGCCTGTGAGGTTTCCAAAAGCATCATTAAAATACCTGCCTGTTTTTGCTGTTTGGTTAACTGGTTCTTCTAGTGCTGCAGGTCCCATGGTGGCTCCTTCTGTGGTGGTGCACAAGGAAAGGTGGAAGGAGCCTCAGCACAACTGGAAAAAGTATCTGATGTGTCTTGGGAACTTGTAGAAAGCTTGTGATAGATCCTGCCAAGGTGATGTTTGCTGTTTAATTACTGTCCTGTATTATCTAATGAGAAAAAAAAAAGCCTACAGCCTTGATGTAATGCATTGCTGCTGTTGTATGAGGCCAAATCATGAAGTTTCTTTCTCTTATGGCTATCAGTGGTGAGCTCACTCACGAGAATGGATGTGGTTTAATGGCTAAATGCTCAAACTCTCTCCAATATGAGGAAGTTAAGAAAATGAGCCTTTGTAGGTTTTACTTACAAGATTTAATTCCCAGCTTTGAGAATGGTCTGTGCCTCTGTGCCTCTGCTATGGCGTAGGCACACGTGTGCAGCTCATGCAATTTCTAACTGCTCCATGGCAGCAAACTGGGTGTACAGCAGATTTTGCAGCCCCAGTGGGTACATCTTAAACTGTAGAAGTTTGCTGCCATCATGGTCTGAATTTCAAATACCTTGTGTAATTACAGAAATGTAGTAACTGAGACCATTGTGCCAAAACCATTGGTGGCAAAGTAACTCATTCCCAGCCTCTCTTCTAAAATCCTATTGGTTATAGCTTGGAAAGTGGAACGTGGAACTCAGTGCTTTGCGTAGCAAGATTTATTTCATTCAGGTACAGTTGTTGGGTAGTTTTTGGGTTTTTTTGTCAGCATTTTCCAGTGTTGATTTAATACTGCAATACAGGATGCTGATCAGGCCAGGCAAGCACCCAAGCTGGGCTTGTTCTTGTGTAGATTCAGACATCGATTTATTGGTGGGGATCTTGATTGAGATTCTGGAAACCACAGAAGCTTCTCACTGTATACTCACTGAGTACTGCAATGTTGGCCTGTTTTCATCTGTCTCCAGACCTTTTTTCTTCCAACCATCAGCACCATCTGCCTTGCAAAGCTGCAGCTGCCTGGCAGTGTTTGGCAGAACTGACAGGTTTGAGCATTGACACCGATCTGCGTTACTGAAGCGGAACGTGGATTGATGGGCTGCCCCCAGTCTGGGAGAGGGCCTGACCTGGACTGTCCAAAGCTGAATGGATGTAACAGCTGGTCCTGGCGTGCTTACTGTTGTGCATGGGTTGGAAATAGTTAACTCTTCAGTTTGTGTCCCACAATGAAGTTGGCGTTACTTTAAGGTAGAATGAAACCATTGTGAAAACATTCCAAGCGTGCTTAGTCTTTCCTCTTTGAGGACAGTCACCTCCACTAGGTTTAGTGCTGTGCTTTAAGATGTTGGTGAGAATAAGTATTGGCTAATTCAAATAGTTGGTATAAATGGTTGTGTAGCAGAATGACTGATTTTTGAGATAGCATTTCCTGTAAAAGTAATTAAGCATGGGTTGATGGTGCACTTTGTATACAGTAATCTGGCATGCATGCTGGTAAACTACTTCCTACACTTCAGAGGCACCACAAGCCTTTTTATCCAATTGCTGGTTATGTAAAATACATGCAGAATGTTAATGCAGTGTTGTTATGGTAAATGTGTGAACAGTGTTACTAATTGATATAACTGATAACAGATTACATGTGCCTGACATTCTTATACCACACAGTATGTTTAGGTTTTAACTAATATGGACTTCAGTGGAATAGTCTTAGATATTTCAAGCCTTTGTTTTACTTACACAATGGTGCTCTATTTGTGTTTTTTCTTTTTTTCCTTTTCTTTCTTTTTTTTTAAAGAAGAAAAAAATAAAAGCATCTGAACACTTGTAGTACATATTACATCCAAAGGAGTCCAAAACAAAACTGCTTCTAACCATCTCGGTTTTAATTTGCCTTCAGTTTCTGGCATTTCTCATCAGCTCGGTTCCTTCTGTCACTTGTTGCTGACTACTTTGGATAACTGCAGTCATGTTACCAATTATGAAGTGATTCTGCACTGCCTTTGGATCGTGTATGTATACAGAAACAGTCTTAAAGCTTTTATTTAAGCTATTGAAAAAACCAGGGACTTGTGCCATTTGTTCTTTAACAGTGCTGTTGTAAAAAGACTTCCCTGTGAAAAAAGATCACTTGCTATGAACTCTGTTTATAGCTTTTTTTTTTCCCCCTCACAATGGATCTTTTCTTTGTATTTGTACAGTGGCTCAGTGAAAGATGTTGCCATGAGTTGATATTGTAACCAATAAACAAGTGCTTTTAACCAGAGGGTGCCCTGTGTGGATGCTCCTTTCCAACTCCGCTTCATAGACCCCTGCCCTGCAGCTGGAGGCTCTTTCCCTGAGCTCCATGGAGGCAGATCAGCAGGAGGCACTCTGGATGTTGCTGCTTCTGCTGTTAAACAGCAGAATTGTTATTCTTTCTTCTAACCCAAAATCGCTTTTTGGAGGCTAAATGAACTCACCAGGACCTGGTCAGGCTGCACTGAAGAGAGCAGGAAGTTTGTAAGGGACCAACCTGGACCAAAACTATTTTTTTTACAACGTTCCTTCATTCTTACCTGCAGAACTCCTGTTGCACAGTGCCATCTGCCACTTTTTTTTTTAAGGCTGTAGTACCGATTCACTGATTCTTTTCTCTACAACTGAACTAAGCAGTCAATACTGCTTGGTGAAATGCAAATTCAACCTCAGTGGTTGTGGGTTTTGTCCTCCAGTGGAAGCAAGGGGGTGGCTTTTCCCTACCGAGACAGTTGTGAAATAACGTTACTACAGGAGAAAAGAGAGAGTTAATTTTTTAATAAATAACTGTAGAACACATGCATGTAAAGTTCTCATCTGGGTACAATCTCTGCAACAACGCTTCAGACAAGAGCACCCACACACACCTGTGACCTCACACAAAGGCTGGGCTGTCGCTCATTTTCACAGTTCTCCTCAGTCAACCTGAGACACCTCACACCCTGCTAACACCAGTGCAGAGAGCTGTGCTGCTGCACATCAGAACCCACCACCACGTAACTGTGGTGAAAACAGTGCTCTCAGCTTCAAGTTATTAACAACATTCCATTACTGTTAGCTTTTAAAATCTACCTCCTTTTAGGATAGCCCTTATTTACTGGAATATAGCAAATCCTTACTTCTTAGGTTTTGAATTTGAGTATTTCATTAGTCTTGTTAATACATCCATAAAAATATATAAATATTCTGAAAAGGCTTTCTCTTCTAAAATAAGTTATTCTTAAAAAGTCTGGTTAGAAAAACGAAGGTGCTCAGTGATTGCAGGTGTCAGCAGCCACGTTAAGAGGCTTTGCACTGCTAGAAGTGAGCAGAGGTGGAAGTACTCCCACGTACCTGTCACACAGCTCAAGGCAGAGATCAGTGCTACAGCAGAACCGAGGAGCAGGTCAGGATGAGGAAATGCCATCAGACAGCCTCCACCTCTGCGTGCAGGAGATGAGCTCTGGCAGAAGCCTGACACCCAAATCTTTCCCTCCAACATGCAAAAATGGGGTCAAAGCCGCCGACTCGGCCGCTTCTTTGCTGCACTTCACCTGGAGGTGAGTTCCAGCTGTGCTCTCAGAGATGAGCATCCATTTTAACAACTATTTGTTTTTACTTAACGCCATCTTGGCTAGAGCTGCAGGAGCCAGCAGGAAACTACAGCCTACTGCATTCTATGAGTGACTGCTCTACAGTTACCACCTTTTGTTTCTTTATCCAAGAACTGGAAAATCTTCCCAACCCAATTCCACTTGCTTCCAAAATGGTCAGGACTCCTGTCCACCATGCTGGAGTTCATACTTCCCTTCCTTAAAAAACCAAAACGAGCACAAATGAAAAAGCAGCATTCTTCTTCCCTGGCTATTCCTAGTCAGCTGAGAACAGGAGAGAGACAGCAGTGATAAGCACTCTCCCTGCATAAACTCCTGGATGCCAGGAAGCCAGACCTGCCCCAACTAAGCACTAACAAAAATCAGAAGAGATTTGGGTTTTTATTCTCAAGTGCCCAAAGAAATTTAGTGTTATTTAACCCCAAATCTTCAGAACAAACATAGCAGTTATAAGCATCCCACAGCTCTTCAGTTTGGTTCACTGTCAGAGTCCAAATTAAGCTTTACAATAATTAAGTGTAATCAAAATAAGATTAAAAATACAAATCATTTCGTGTGACTCCACAGAGAAGTGTCATCTGTAAAATTTCTACTTTGTCCTACAAAGGATCACTGGGAAGGGTAACGATGATGCTTTATTTACTCTTTTGAAGAAAATGCTTTGTAAAGCGATCTAGTTCGTTCTCAAGGTGAATGGCTTTATTTCTGTAAAACAAACAAAAGCAAAGTATTCACTTCAGTGCAGATCAATCACAAAGAGGGCAGGAGCAATAATTCTGTTTGGCTTCTATTCCTGAAACCCACAGCACTGAGAAAATCAGAACGTTTGCTCTGGTTGGAGCCTGGGCCTACTGAGTCCCTAAGGCACCCACTGCAAGTTTCTGTTCCACAAAGGCCTACTGAACTGAAGGACAACCTGAAGCTGCTCTAATGCTCTCCTGTTCTCTGGGAAGGTGCCACCCCCCCCCGGTTTACCTGTGGGAGACAAACACTTAAGAAAGCCACCTCTCCTATACAATAGAGTAAGGTAAGAACTGTCTAAGAGAGAGCAGTTCAGGAGCTTTTCTCATTCTCCTTGGAAGAAGCCTGCATGTATTTAACTCTTAACCAAAGAGCTGTTTGGTTCTGAGTAAAGGAAAGAGGTATCGGTGTCTGCACCTGTGCATACCTTACTTGTAGGTTGAAGGTAACAGCAGGCATGCACTCAGAGGTCAGCAGTGCCAGGAATTGGTCCTGGCAGTCACATGCAGACTCACCTTAGTTGCTTGGAGTGGCTCTGTATGTTCTCCAGCTGATCTATTTCTTTGGAAAGACGGGCAATTTCTTTTTCCAGGCTTTTCTGGGTAACATCCACCTGCTGACAGAGCCGAGCAAAGGTAGTGGCCATTTCCCTGAAGGAAAAACAAGTTTGTAATTGGGGCTTGCAGAAGTCTGCCACAAAAATAATGCAGGATAAATCACACAGTGCTGCAGTGCACAGCAAAACACTGCAATCAAAGCCTCCAGCTGCCAGGGGATTATAGAGCACAAATCAGGAAAATCACCTCATTTTCAAATTTAAAAGGCAGCACTGATAGTAAAAAGGTACCACAGTCTATTCTAACATCACACGTGTCAACTTTTGATCGAGTACCCACAGGTGTTAAGCCTGAGATGGGGATGTTGGCCGGAACCACACTGCAGCAGCCAAACCCAAAATCAGTGTCCATTAGAACCGAGCCTACTCCCATGTCCAACCACACAGTAATGTGTTAAAGAGTCTCGAGTCCACAACGACAGGCTCTCACATGTAAATACCCATGCAGAGGAGCACGTCTTACCCTCTCTAGGTGCCAACTTCACGCCCATAACCTACCAACACCTATCGTTGCTACAGTAACACCTTTTCCCTGTAACAATATCACAAATGTCCCTTACAATCAACGCTGAGGGGCTGCAAGAATTTCCTGCTGCCTTCCCACACCACATACAGCCGAGCCCACTGCCAGGACAACCCGGCACCACACAAAGGTTTCTTATCCTGTGTAACACTTACTGCTGCACCTGGTGGCTGCAGTTTGCACTCGTAAGGCTGACGATCATCTGCAGCTTTTCGGTCGCGTAGTTGACGAACTGCTGCTTGAAGGCTCTCTCTTTTGCTTTAGTGGTCCAAGTTAGTCTCTCATAGAGATATAATAAGCCATACATACTTAAGGAGAGAGAGATGAGTTTCCAGCCAACCGTTTTCCAAATCTGAAAAGGACGACTCGTTAGTTTAAATAAGAACTAATAAAATTAGTTTAAATAATTTAAATAATTCGTTTAAATATTGTTGTTACAGAATGCAACTAGACTATAAGGAAGTCTATTTATTTTCACCTTTTTTTTTTTTTTTTTTTTTTCTGTTTCTGTCTTCAGGGCCCTTTTACTAGATTAGATTGTTAGCAAATATATGACTGTCAAGCAGTACAGCTCTATCCAAATCAGCTGCTGCCCCCGTGGCTTGGAGAACATCCAGGTTACAGAAGGAGGAAGGAAAAAGCAAACTGGCTCCCACCAGTTCAACAGTACAGAAGGCACAATCAAACCACCCCACAGTTCAGAAACTGAACACAGTCAGAACGTGCCCAGCTACACTCAGCGTCATTACAGCAATTTTCCCCTTCAATCTGGCATCCAGTGCACCACAAGTGCTCATCCAGCCCAGCCACGCTAGTAAGTTACTACATGCTTCATGCTGCATGGTATGGAACCCCAGAAAGGAGAGAACAGCCCATCTCTGCCATCAGTGAGTGCTGCTAATACTACTTGCCACTCCGCCAACAACGATGATGCTCATAGAGGTCCGTGATGTCAGTGAAGCTAAACTCATTACCAAAGGAACCATGAAATCATCAGGTGATGCGTTCTCTGGAGTTGCAGCAGGAAGGCTGGCAGCAGACGGGGTGGTAGCTAAGGGACGAGGGATCTAGAAGAGTGGAATACAGCAGCCAGAGTCAAAAGCACTGTGGAACTACACAGGAATCAGTTTTATTTTCATCTATTCAGGGTTCCGTTCATTTAAAGGGAGCTCTTCAGCACAGAAGTCTGAACAATGTTCCTGGTAAACAGTGGAGGTTCTGACAGTTCCCTGTCATACAGGGGCTAGGTTAGAACGAGGGCTCTGCTCAAGGATGCAAATGTGACAAATTAAGAAGTTCTCCAGAGCGTTCAATCCAAACTTACGCAACATCTGCAGAAAGTATAGGAGAGATTTTTGGTTCCCTTTTAACCCTGAATATAACTCAATAAAACAAGCCTTGCCAAAAATGTTTCACACAAAAGGACTAAGGGAACGCAGCAGGAAGCAGGGAAACAGGAGAAGCAAACAGGATTTTAAAAAAACATGTAGTAAAAAAATAATCAATATAGCCTCATTAAGGTAACACAAGGCACTTAAAAGGTCAGCCTCATCTCTGAAGCACTCACTTGTAAGTTGGGATCTGCCAGTCCCAGAAGCACCCTCTGAGCATGTTTAGGACCCAAGAACCGGTTTACGAGTGAAGTCCATCCCAAGGAAAAGTGGAACATGATATCCTCCTGGAAATCCGCACACAGACTGTGACAGTTCAGATCATAGCTGAGGTCAAACTTCCTGCATGGAATCAGCAAGTGAAGCTGGTTCTGAGCACCAGAA